TGCTTTGATAGTATGATGTCTATCAAATATGAAAAAAATTTCTTCTTGTGGTGTCACATGCTGACAAACATTTCTAAAAAAAAATTACCATGCTTTTTTTGTCTCTCCTTCCACAATTGCAAATGCAACTGGCAAGATATCTGAGTTGCCATATTGGGCAATTGCCATCAACAATATTCTAGTATACTTGCCATACAAATGTGTTCCATTAATTGAAATTAATTTTTTGGAATATTTAAATGTCCCTATGCATAGTGGATAGGTCTAAAAAAGACGATGAAACATAAAGCAACCATAAAACATCACTAATATAGTATGGTCCAGTTTGCATTTGGACAATAGTACCTAGCATATAAGATTTCAAGCCACCCAACCATCTTGGAAGTTCATTATACGATTTTTCTCAATCTCTATATATCATAGCAATAGCTTTCTGTTTGGCGGGTATATGTGGGCAAAGATAATATTATAATTCATCTGAACATGCTGATTCATAGACTCTGTAAAGACACATGTGCGTGATCTTGTCAATTTTTGCACTTCTTATAACTACAATTTTTGGCGGAAAGTGATACATATACTCCAATTACAGTCATTGTTAAACTTCATACACTCAATGAAATTTTATGTGTTGAGATTCATAAATTTTATACTAAACACCTCTTTGAATGATGTAATATTTAACAACAAACGTCACTTTATCTTTGGTACGAAATACTTGACCAAGTGACAAGTCATTCTCTCCTCCTATACTCGAACTTGAACTAAACTCACTCACATTACAATGCGTTGCTTCTAAATCAACTATTGAGTAGTGACTAGGACGTTGTCGAGATTGAGATTAAGATTTGGATTGAGACCACGACATCAAATGTTCATCCACATTCTGCAAATCAAATAATTGTTCATCTTCTTCATCATCAAGGTCCTCCTTTTCATCATTTTCATCATGTTGCTATGCCACAATAAAATCAAAATCTCCAACCAAGTTACCTTGTCTCATTTCCTGTGAATTTTGTGATAATGGCTTTTCAATATGTCTAACAACGTGTTCGAAACTTGGAGAACCTATCTCATCAAGTGAATTGTATACATCATGACAAGACATCTCAACTAATGGGCTTGAATTTGGTGGAGAGCGAGATGGATTTGGGGCTAAACCTCCAGAGCTAAAATGATCACCTTGTAGTTCGACAAAAGCTCTATTGTACGAGTTTCAGCAAATGAGTTAAAATAACTAAATGTGTTCAGGGGCAAACCTTCTTAGGAGCGGGAGGGGGCCACAGCTCCCCCAAAGCTTGTAAATATTTTAATAATTATATTATATTATATTATATTATATATATATATATATATATATATATATCCTACTGGTCTTACAGCTAATTGATAAAACGTGAAATAAATATATATCTTTTTATAGAATAAAGTGGATGGTGGCCATGCCCATCATTTCAATTTTAAAAGTTAAAAGAATTTTTATACATAAAGCAAATGACACATAAGTGAGAGAGAGAAAACTTATTCAAGAAGAAATTTCTCAGCTTCTCCTTCCACGATTTTGCTCCTGCCAAACATAGATGTTCACTGTTTACAAATTGCAACTCCAGTTATAGCAAAAAGGTATGCCTTTTTTTTTATCATTTACTTTTAATTATTAAGCTTATTTATGAGTAGCAAGTCATAAGCTAAAATAGTCATAAGCTACAGCAAAAAGGTACACCCTTTTTTTAATTATTTACGTAGATAAAGATTTTATTTGTCTAAAATAAGAAAAAATGACAAATATATACACCAATAATTCTTCTATAATTTTCATTTGTGCAAAATATATGTTATTATCATTATTCCATTATTGATTTTATTGTATTGATTTTCACCTTGTAGTAGTTTTGCTGATTAATATTGTTATTTTTTTGAGTTTCAAAAGTTCAAATAATGTGAATATTGGATCTATTTATATAAATAAAAATTAGTGTGTTAATAGAAATTGTATAATGTGACCAATTAGTCTTTAATTTTATTACATCAAATAAGAAGTTTGATTTTTATAATCTTTTTACAATGAAACTTTTATGTTTTAAAGGTATAATAACCAATTATCAACAAGGTTACAATAGTTAAACACAAGACAATCAATTCATTTTTCAAGAGCAAAATTACTGACAATGATAAAAATTATAAAGCTTGAAACAAGCAATAATCACATAGTTAAAGAAGATGATGAGTTATCTTTAAAGATTCAAAAAGTAATTGATAAATTTAATGCTAATTCTTTAGAACGTGGCTCCAAAAAAACGTCCCTAAATTTGGGAATATCCTTCGAACCAAAGAGATGAAATTCGAAGAGCTTATCTAAAATGGGGTCCATATCAATATCATCTTGAAAATTATCCCTTCTGGAGATAAACATTCAAGGCGATTTCAATCTACTGGGATCAAAATGTTTCCTTCTTGGCTAGCTAAAACTTTTGACTCTGATCAATTATTGATGACTTCAAGTCTTTAAAGGAACAAGAGCAGCACTTTGAATGTAGGTACACTTAATCTTTTGTATATTTATTGCTACTTTGCATTAATACATTATTTTGAGACTTTGCTTGAGAAATATAAATTTTAGTTAAATCACTTTATCAATATTTATGGCTCCCCTTAAATTTTTAGTCAAGATCCACCATTGAATGTGTTCATCTTTCCAAATTCACTACTTTTTATATTGAATACCATTTGACCCAATATAAATTGACATCTTGTGGAATATTTTTGAAACTTGTATATTGTTTCTCTCATATTCCTCTAATATTCAACTCACCAATTATAGCTAAGTAATTGATAGACAGGTAACCAATCAATCCTTATTATTACTACAAAATGTCTCTCCCTCTATTGTATTTACAATCTCACCATTATAATATATAAACACATGTGTCTTTGTCATTTCACTAAGATTTTCACAGTCAATCTCACAAATTTTTGAAACAAAATAATGCAAAGTGAGAAAGTCGTATATCTCATTTATAGTAGAAGACCAAGCTAATTCATCTCTACTTTAGTCGACTTATGTGTTAAACTAAAATTTATTTAAATCGACTTCTATTTTATACATAAATATATTTAAATCGACTTTAGTGTTACAAATCAGATATATGAAAGTCGCTTTAAATCAACTTATGTGTAAAGAAAATAAAAAAACTTTTACAGAAGTTGACTATAATTGACTTCAATGTAAAAAAATTCCAGTGTTGAGGAAATTGATTTAAACCAACTTCTAAGCAAATAAAAAAAAATTCAACAAGAAAAAGTAGATTCAAATTGTCTTCTATTTCATTTACATGCAAATTTGTAACCAAAGTCAATTTAAGTCGACTTTCATTATCATAGTTTCATAACACAATGGTAAAAATGTTTAAAATAAGACATTTAGGTAATAAATATTTTAATTTAATTTATTTACGTAAAAAACTCAATAATATCATCATAATGATTTCCTTCTCCAAAAGTATGACACAAGGACGCAATTCACTCTTTAGATACGAGATTTTAGATGTTTCTTGTCAAAGCATGATAAATATGAAAAGGTGAATTAACGAGTTTGATTACCTCCATGCAATCCAAATAGAAAATTATATTTTTGAAGCTTTTGACCAAGCAATGGATAACTCATGGAAGTGAGGGAAGTTCGGACTAAGTTGTTTATTTGGGGACTTTTATTTTTGTAAATATAATTTAAATAATAAATCTTTTAAAAATAACGATGATGTGAGATTAAGTGACAGGGAAGAATTGAATTTTTATTATCTGTTTAATAGAATATAGTTAACCATAAATATTAAATCTTTTTATATATTTTAAAAAAAACTTATTTCAAAGGATGCTTGTTTTACAAAAATTAAAGACAGATTATTTGATGTAAAAAAAAATTACATTAATCATACTTATAAAAATATCAACAAAATTTAACATGATAACAAATTAAATAAATAAGACAAATTATTAAATAAGACAATAAAAATTAAATAATATTATAAAATAAAAATACCAACAAAAATTAACAAGATTAAAAATATCAACAAATAAAGCATATATAATGTAAGGTGTCAAAGACTACATACTCAAGTTTACATTTTTAGAAACTTAATTGCATGCTTACCTTCAAGACTGAAAACTGTTCTTTTTAATAAATGTACGTTATTATTTGCACTATTATGATCACTTCTTTATTCTTCTTCAAAATCTTCATCATCACTTTCACTAATATTTGTAGAAATTAATAGATAATGTTGTTGATGTATTCAAAACATTTTTTTGAATATCATCCTTATTTGGTTATTAGAATTGTTTTGTATTGCATGAAACACCATCAAATGATATATCACATGAAATATTCGGTAGTATTGACTTTTCACATCAAAACATCAAATCTTCACTTTAGAACAATTTCACCATCAAAATATACTATTATATTTGCACTCATTTTTTCTTTTCATCAAATGCAAACCAAGCTCAAGTGCTACAGAGTAAAATGAGGAGAGAAAATGAGTTTATTCTTTTTCATCAAATGCAAACCAAGCTAAAGTGTTACGGAGTAAAATGAGGAGAGAAAATGAGTTTATATAGAGCTCAAGGTCACAAAATACGCCTATGGCGACCTGTGCTCAAAAGACGCCAGTGGCGGTCTTCTACTAAATAAAAAATTTCTCGCATTTAACTCGCTTTACAATAAAATATAATTCTTTTGTTGCTTTGGCGATTTTTTAAGATGTAACCTGCCACCTGCACTATAAATCGCCAGTGGCGATTTTTCAGAAGTAAAAAAAATTTCTTTTCCATCTAGCGTTTTCAAATTTTTTAATTGCCTCTGCCACTAGAAGACGCCAATGGCATTTTATTTTAAAAAGAAAAACATATGTTATTGAGCAACCAAATCTCCCATTAAAAAAATGTCACATAATCTATTGAGTTGCATAAAAACAATAATGTCATTGAGAAACCGAGGGAGGCGTGTAAAGAAAAAGTTAATGGTAAAAACAGTTGAATGTAGTATCAGCACCGACATCTATCTGGCAGTGACAAGGGAAAAAGTGTGCGTGATACTACATAAATAAAGCATCGAGTAAACACGATACAGAAGAACCTTTGAGGTCGCAGCACAAAACTCTATGTTTAGTGTACCGTTTAGCTGGCGCAAACCAATAGACAAATACAATATATAGCATTCAACACAAAAATCCCTTTTCCATCAAAATTAAAGAAAAAACATTAAAACTCTAATCAAAGAGTGACAATCCCAAGTCTTCATCTTCTTCCTCTTCCTCCACCTTTTCTTCCTTTTTCTCAGCCGGGGCCGCCTCTCCAGCTGAGGCAGCAACTCCTGCAGGAGCTGCTGCAGCAACAGCACCACCTCCAACGAACACTGCACCACCCACTACCACCTGAACAAAACAATCAACAGCTGTATTCAGCTATTCATATAGTGGTTGAATTAAAAAATTTAGTACTTGTGCATTTCAACTTATTTTAACAAAAATAATCGTTCATTCTTATTATTAAGCAAATATTATCTCAAATTTAAGCTGATTTATTAGTGCTGGCACTATAACCCACCAATTTAGAAATGCAGTATAGCATGCGAGCACAAATTAGATACTTCTATGTAGAAGAAAGATCGAGCTTTACACATGTTTTAGCACTAAACCACATTATTCTCTTCAAGTCAACGCATATTCACAGAATAATTTGAACGAAAAACCAAAAATACAATGACGAAAATAAAAAGAATACGGTCAAACTACAAATTCTCAGCAATCAGCAGAATCTTACAAATGACATGAACCAAGCTACCAACTTTCTCGGATTCGACACAGTTGACTATAAAAAATAGCATAATAAAAGCCTAAACTAAATGCGTAATGCTTCAAAAGAAACAACGCGATATACGCCTATAAATACACACACACATATACATTCTACGGGATCTAAATAATATGACGAATAAATTAAAAAAAAAAAAAACAAAACATAGAGCTCTGAAATTGAAAAGGATAAAAATACAAAGACGACCTAGAGTTTCATTTCCGATCAAGAAACCACAATCATTGGGGATGTGGAAAGTTGTACCTGGAAGACAGCGGAGGAAGGGTCCACCACAGAGAAAGAGGACTGAACGGCGCCGGAGGAATCAACGGCGAGAGCGGCATGAACGAGCTTCCGTTGGAGGTCGAAGGTGGAGTCAGCGGAGGCCTCGATGTCGCCGGAGAATTGCTTGGCAGACCATTCGCTGCCGGATTTGCGGAGAACGAATGTGAAGACTCCCATGGCTACTCTTCTCTTTGCCCTAAGCGAAACCCTAATTGGAAATTGAAGCCTCGTAGAGAGCAAAGTTCACAGTGACGGCACTTTCAGTGGAACGATTCGTTTATGTATCGGTGAAATTTTGCAACCCTAATGCTGTTTAAGTGAAAAGTCCGTTTAGTCCTTCACATATTACAAAACTTGGACATCTTATATTCACGTGCATATATATATAAAAATATTCCTCCGTCTCAAATTAATTATTAATTACATTAACTATTATGATAATATTTTTTTATTAATATGTTATTATTCAAAAGATTATAATGTAATTATCAATTAATTAAACATTTAAGTAAAATATTAATAAATAAAAAATATAGTTAAAAATTTCATATTTTTTAAAAAAATAATAAATATTTTGGTCAAATCAAAACACTTTTTTAGTTTTTCTTGTATTTTGTCACATCAAAATTAATATTTTTAAAATAATAAATAATGTAAGCTGAAGAAAGTATAAAAAATACTTAAAAAGTAAGTTTTAAAACATTAAAATTAAGTAAATTTTGTCATTTGATATTTTTTTTACTTTAAATCATCAACATATTATTTTTGTTTAAATATTTGAGGGTTTATGATAGATTTAAAATATGAGATAATTTTAAAACTAAAATAAAAAAAATTGTGGAAACTAGATAAAGTCTAAGGACTGGATAAGATGAAATTTTAGAGTTTTAAAAAAAAAAAATTATTATTTTAAGTGTAATTTGATATTTTAAGACAATTTAATTTGTAAAAATTTTAAATAGAAAATAACATTTTCTAAATATCAGGTAAGAAAATCGACGAAAGACTAAACTTGTGTTATTTTGAAACTAAAAGAACTTAATTAATTAAAAAAGATTAAAGCTATAATAACCGCAAATAGTTTTCAGTTTACATTGTTCGCTTTAGTTCTATCTGGTCATTTTAATATTATGTCATCATTCGTTTGTGCAAAAAATGATAATAACTGATCTTAAACTCTGTGTGAAAAAACACAATGAAAAAAAATAAAAATAAAAAGTTGGATACAATGACGAGTATTTGTACACAAAATTGATAAAATTAAATACAACTATGAAAACATTAATACATAAATTATCTCACATAATTCTATCTGATTTAAACTGAGTTACTTCCTGAAGAGGATATCTATAATATAGTTTTTTATATTGGTCATTGGGTGGAGAGATCCAAAATTTCCATGTCTAGGCACATAACTTTAGTAGCATAACTTGGTTACCTATGCAGTTTGTCCAAAGTGGTGCGGTCCAACAGTTACGCACCGCATTGCATTAACATACAAATTTGACCTACCCCCCTAGTAGAAGAGTGTTATAGAGAGGAGAAACAAAATATAATAATAATTGGAAGCCAGTTTAGTCACAATTTAGAATAAATAGTGCACATCCATGAACTTCCACGTTCATTGATAACGTCCCCTGCGTTGTTATTACGTCCTTTCCACTCCACAGTTCCTTGCCCTTACATGAATTGATGCTTTTGTCAGGAAGAACCCTGGCCAGATATGATGTCTTTGCATATATCACCGTCTTCTCGTCGCTTAGATTGAAGAACGCAAGATAGATTTCCCCTAAATATAGATAAAATATCAAGAGTTAAAAAAGAATTTACTTCAAAACATTGTGACTTTTGTTGTCTGCATATGTAAATATGCATGTTTTATTGTTCAGGAAGTAAAATATTCTCTTTCTGTTTTCTCAGAAATTGGTCATGGCTGACGTTAAGCAGCAAAAAATAATTAGTTTGTATTGGAATAAAATATTCATTGCACTTTTGTATTTCCAATTTCATAAATGTCTTCTTTTCTAACTAACATTTTATTATTTTTAGATATTTGAACTTAATCTAACAAAATTGATAAAAATATAAAATTTGACTCCTTTAAAATAAGGATTGTACTTCAAAAGGTTAAGTAAGCGAAATTATAATAGGTGATTGTTTCCTTATCCTAGAGTAGTCAAATCTTATAATGTTTATCTCTTATTAAGTTCTTAAATGCCACTTATGATTAAGCAATAAGCATTTTTTCCCCTTTTTGATGCTTTGAAGTTGCAGAAAAGATGAAAATTCTTGACATTCATCTAGAATGTTTGGTAGGAAGTAGCAAGAGACCTTTCCTTCCCGTTGCAATCCAAGACCGAATACCACCAGAATTAACATTAGCTGAATCTGCGACCAATTGAGTCATGAGTTAAAAATAATGACAAAAAAGAAATACAATCTCTGGAAACTGGATCTAGAAAATGGAACATATTTACTAAATTTCACCTTCGACATATTCTACGGTCGCACAAAGACCAGAGTAACTATTTACCAGGGTACCATTGGAGCTCAGCTCCCAGATCTGTTAAAAGACCAGATAGATCAGCTTCCAATAGAATCCACAAATATCATTAAAATACAAATTGGCCAAGGCATAAAGTATCTAGATACGGCTAAGAATAATATGACACAATAATTGATATCTAAATAAAATATTACATATGATATCTAAATAGAATGTGCACAAACAAGGTTGATCACTGAATTGATTTATGTATCTACCCTAGAGACAAACTACATACATTACAAACTGGAAAACTTCTCACAAGATGCTTCAATGAATCACACACACGATTCTCTTCCTAGAGATTAAGAGCCACATGCAACAACTCTTGTACGTGAAATATGAGCTGTATCATACCTGATTTGAATCCCATCGGCAAGGAGAAAATGTACCTCTCTTGAACTCTTTAGAAGTAATCTTTCGTTTTGGTGAAGCATCCAAACAAAACTTCATTCTGTCAGTTGCAACTAATTGATGCTTCCCTTGATAATTCTCGTGATACATACTCCCTCCTTCTCTGTATAAATATTAATATGACAATATTTGTTGATAACAATACAAATGATCAAATAGATGTTAGATAAATGGAATAGAGAAAGATAAAGCATGATTACAATCTGAAAAGAAGTTCTCTCTTGTGTACACAGAAAGGGGCCAGATGCTTGCTTTCTAAACTCTTTTTCCAACAGATTCTTTCAAGATCTTGGTTAAGACTTTCAATAGACCAACCACTTGCCTTTGATTCAGTGCAGCTGGTCAGACCTAATGAATGTGTATATGATGCTTTTATTCCTTTCTTAGGTATTCTCTTTTTCCCTTCTAGGTGATCATGTTTGTGCTTCAAGATCTCCGAGCTTGTGACATAAGGAAACTGTCATTGCAGTAAAAGTGAAGTGATTCATGATAAGTTCATATGCCTCACATGCCTAGTATTCTAAAATATTAAGTTAGATGGCTCACATGCCTCCATATTATTTGAGCTGAAGTAATTAATTTCTAGCAGTGTAGGATTTGTGATAATTTCATATGTGGTAGGATCAATCTTCCGCACATCCCCCCCATACATGAGGGGAGACTTAGCCAAAGACCACAAAGTCATCTGTCAGATAAGAATAGATTCAATCAGATTCTAATATATAGTGCATGTGTACACGTCAAAACTTATACGTGAATATATATAGGAAAGCAAATCATGATCTTTTTATCAATACCTGTGTCCTTTTCTCTTCAAGATTGAGGTTACTATACCTGTGTGGACCTTCATTAGAACCTATGGATAAAATAGGGGAAAAGAAACAGTTCCGTAATTCATATTACAATAAGTCAAGCTCATGGAAATTATCTAGGATACAATATTGTAAACATCTTTTAAGTTTACTAATAAAAAAGAACCAGCATATCAACAACATCCTTATATTTTTAGAATAAATATATCTGCAGAGAATGCTTCACACTGCCAGGAGATTCTAGTTCACACAAATGAATAATAAACAAATGAAGTAATTGGAGCTATAAATACACACTAATAATCAATCCATTCCCAGTATGGGGGTTATGCCATTCATAATGAACAACAAATAAAGGTAGCAGCCCAGTCTCAATACCTGGATCAGTTAGCCATCCAAATGGTAGCATGTCCAAATCAGGCCAGGAATTTCCCTTTAAGCCTTTTCCTCCTATCATATTAGCTGTAGAGAAATCCCTGATTCAGAATTAAACGAATTGAAGTTATGTAATATGGACAGAACGTATATGGAGAAGCTGCTAATATGAACAATGGAGTAATTAATTGTGAAGATTGATAAAAATATCTTCAACAGAAATACAAACAACTTAATCACCTTGTTACATCAAAATGAGCCTTGACATCCCCCCATGTATCCCAGTCATCTCCTGTTATTCTATACATGTTGACTAGTCCAAGGACATCTTTAGCCATGGCTGGTGTCACACTAGTTCCAGGAGACAGAGAATACACAATGGGGCGACTAAGCTTGCTGAGAACCTGAAATGACATGTCACATGACAAGTTAACCAATAAATCATTGGCAAAACATTACCAATCTCAGTCTTAGATGCAAAAGAGAGGCAATAAAGAAGGTAAGAGGAAACTCCAGACTACCTCTGATACATAGGTTATTTCACTCAAATCCAAGTCATCGCCGAACACACAGTCATGTTTCACTACAAGGAAGGCAGAAAATCTATCAAAATTGCTGCCAAAGCATAGGCATAACTGCTTATGTTCTCATATACTATAATGCAAATCTACAGTTGGGTTCACTTAGTAATTTCTATGGTATTTTCTTTTCAGGTAAATCCTGAATTAACTCATGAATGAATAAGCAATCAATGCTTTAAAGCTCTACTCAAATTTAGAGGATTAGAAAGGATGAAAAGGAAAACAGTAGTCAAATGTTGATTCTCTCTTTACTTTAGTGAAAATTGAAGCTCCATGATATGAGAACATTGCTTGAAGTCTAGGGACCACTAAAATACCGATTCTATCTCATTAAGAATTATCTTGATGAAAAAAACAGAGTAACCGCTTCACTTACAAAGCATAGGTGAAGATAGACAGTAAATTATTTGAAATCATCATGGTTAATGTCGGTGACGTGATAAAAGTTGTGATAATGCATAATAATCAGATTATAAATTAGTAGCTCTGGTACCGAAATCAACACCCCACGCAGCATACTGCTCATAAAGGGATCTCAAAAAAGCTCTTCCAGCTCCCAACTTTGTATTTACACTCATGAAACCGTGAGGCATCCATGCACAAGCTCTTTCTGGGATTGCTATGTCTTTTGCACGCCACACTCGACCAGATTCTTGATATGCATCTCCCTAGGAAATTGCAAGAGGAGGAAATCAAGGTCAATAAGATTAAATTTGATAAAAACAATATTCCCATATTCTGCATGTCATGTTGTATTTTTTTTTAAGATAAAATAAAATGTATTGTGTAAGTTACCCATCACTGCCAATTTCTAATAAGATAAATTAAAAGAAACTAGTCTTAGCAGAAATGCATAGCAATACCTTTGTTGTATCTAGGATAGGGGTGTTTGCATTGGCAGCTTGTGTGCTTATCCCTCTCATTACATGAATCCCAAACTTTAAACCCAAGCTATGTACTTTATTAGCTACTTCGCTGAACCCCTTCCCACCTTGGGAAGAAGGCCACCTTCCTGGGTCAGGGATCATCCTTCCCCATTGATCAATCACATCAAATCCAAGAGAATCAGGATAAGCACCCTTGACTTTCTTCCTGTACCAGAGGTAATCTACCACAACATACTACAAGAGTTGATGGAAAGAAATCAGTCTATATCTAACCAAATTACTGCCAAGTACAAACACAGTCAAATTAACCATAAGACATTATTCTTTTCAGTATCTATACCTGATATCCATGAGCCTTGAGACGTTGAGAAACTATTTCAGCACTCTGTAAGAATTCTTCTTCAGAAATTGTCCAACAAAAGGAATCATAGGAATTCCAACCTCTTGGTGGGAAGCTAGCTTGCAGGTCACTCTGTGATATGTTTTGAGATGACACACTAAAATGACAAAGCCAGATATATATTATGTTAGTTTTTCTTTACCTTTTTGTCGAATATCTAACAAATATGACAGAACAGGGTCAGACGATTAAGGAATACTAGCTTGCACTTTGGATATGATTTAACAACTTAAGTTTCAATTTGACATACTGTACTTTTTGCAATTAATCTGGACAATATTGAAGTGTGCTTGTAAGGTTTAAAAGTCATTCCATACTCGTTGCTTAATTGAACTTGTTTATGCTTTATAATTATTCAAAAATCACATCCGCAAAATTAAACATAAATGCTGGAACCTATGCTGAGTTTCTAGTCTACTCCAAATTCACTAATCAAAGTTAACCAGACTTAGGCTTCCTGGAGTTGACATCAAGGACCCAAGTCAACAGTTAAATAACGTCACTGATTTTAAAAGTTACCATAGGTACCGTATATGATCACCATAAGACTTGACCAATATTGTGCAACTTTTCTAAACAGCTTTTGACATTTAGATACCGAAATACTATATTCAAAGCAATTATAAAATCAACCTTTGAAAATAAGCTTTTGAAAATCATCCAGCAATACCAAATCCACTCTATGAGTGAGCTCTATTACTTTTTCTATTCATATAATTTGAAGAAGAAATAACGTGTTCCTAAGGTACTATAATTTTATTTCCCTTTTCGAGTGCTCATCTTGGAGTAAAATTTAACTTTTTGAGTAAGAATTCACACATCACTGGCAATGACTGATCAAACATTCAAAATCCGGTTGGTATCAGGTATCAATATCATTAGACTAATCGACAACAGCAGTAGCAGTCCAACTATGCATTCAACTTGATAATTTCGAAAACAAATGCAAAGTTTGAAACATTGGCTAAATTACTATTACTGCTCACTCACGAGGCAGATTTCTGTGCACAGATCGATCAGATTATCAGAATAATGAAACCAATGTGAGTTAGTCCCTTTTGACACCCTCCAGTTGCAGGCAACGGCAATGTGAGCAAAGAAGCAGAAAACTTTTTAAGGGTTTTGGATTCAAGCCTCCAATGAAGCAGAAAACAATGAAATTATCAATCTAGCATATCTTAACCATGTCCAAAATGTATCATAAAGCAACATGCAGATGAAACTCACACAATCAACTAAACAGTAGTTAGAGAAGAAGAAGTAGCTTTCATGGTTGCATACCTCAGAAGACAGAGACCAAGGAGAATCCAGCAAGAGACCAAGAACACAGAGAAACGCCTCATGACTGCTGGTACGTCTGTTCCACCGAACAACATTTCCGACACGGTTAAATACTAATAAATCTCCAACTTTTTGGTTCACTGATAATAAAATATGAAAAGGGTCTTTTTAAGCAGTTGCTTAAAATGAATCAACAAATAAAACTATGATTAAAGTATATCAATAATATTTTAAATTCTTTAAGTGGTCACTAACATTTATTGAACTTATATTGGAAAAAATAAAAAAATAAAATAATGATATTGCAATGATGCGTTGTCGAGCATATGTACACGACATCCAAATCATCATAATAACGGTGACGTTTATCTCATTTACTTGAATACAGTTGTGGCTTTCTTCGAAGTGATGCGCATTTTTGTCTGTGGCGACCTCGTTTAACCCACGACACATGTTTACGTTACGCTACACGCAATGTCCCAATTACTGAAGAGAAAACGTATCTGCCAGTGCTACCTCCACTGTTGCAAATGCAATTTCCTCCATTAATTCCAAAATTCGGATTTGTCTGCATGTCAGAGGCGATGATTAACAACGTTTTGGTTTGGATAATTGAGAGTAGTAGTTCGAAATGGGAATTTTGTAAAGGGGTGGTAACGAAAGAAAAAAAAAGAGAGGGTAAAAATTGACAAGAGTTTGACACATGCGGTGTGGGAACATGACATCATGTTCATGTGTGGTTTGGTGTGAGGCATGTGTCAGTGTCTACACAATTGCCGGGTAGCGCGTGGGCGCAGATTCCTTCTCACAACTACATCGCATTACAGCTAAAGCAAACGACCTTTCCTTAGCCACGGGACCCCCACCGCTCCTTAAGCTTTGTCCTTCCTAGATTATTTCACAACTCATTAAATGCTAATATTCCATTAACAGTTTTTTGAGGGGTAGTTAACAAAATTAAAATGTTATTAAACGATAACCCATAATTAAGTAAAATATTAATCTGTTATATTTTTCTTTTTATGTATGGTTCTTTCTTCAACAAAATTATAATATCTTATTAGTATTTACTTGCATGCTGCTAAATATGAATCTTTTATTGTTATCACTGATAAAATCATCTGGTTTTTGGCAGACTTGATGGTTGATACTGTGTCAACCAAAAAAGTTTTCAACAACTAATAGGTGAGTCTAGTGATTTAATCTTTCAATTACAAAGGCATAAATTAATTATGACAATCATATAAACTCCTTTCTTAAACTTGTTTTATATTTATTATCTTGTAGGGTAAGGTGCGTTGAGTGTTTTTTGTTGTTTAAGCAAAACTTGCTTGATTTACATGTAATGTAGATTCGGTGAAGCAATCTAGTGCTTTCTTGTTATTCATGTTGAGAATCCTAAATCATTCCTAACATTGTCCGAATCATTTCTGGTGGAATATATTTCATCTTTTCAACGGGTAAAAAATAAGGATCAGTTTTTTATTTGTTTAATTTGTTAGTAATTAAATTTTGAAAAAACAAATACAGACTAATGCCAAATGCAACCATTTTTATAAAAAAAATAAATATTTTTTAAAGTTTTTTTAATATTTTTTAACATTATATTAAATTAAAACTTTATTAATCAATTAACCCTTAACTGATAAATATTATTAATAATAACTAATATTTTATTTGCTTATTTGAGCTCTTCATGAAAGACATTAAATTTTTTATAAGTTGACTTTTTTTAGTATTATCCTTAATTTTATTGAAACTTATTATTTTATTCTCTTTCTAACTAATTAATTCTTTTACTTTCACCGATTTGCAAGAAAATTTATATAAAAAAAACCTTGACAAATCCCAAAACAAAAACTTATATTTAAGATGAAAAAAAAAAGATAATATATTGTTAATTAAATTTAATTTTGTTTATATTCGACGAGATACTATGACCTAAAATAAGATAAATTAAAAAAATTAAAAGAAGGTAAATTTAAAAGACGTTTTTTATTTTTTAAATATTTGTTATCTTTTAATCATTAAATGATATACATATTTATACATATTTTAAAATAAAATATTTATATATTACATAAATTACTGCTAGCAATATTTATTTTTATATTGACAATAATTTTATATAAAACATTTTTAATCAAACTCTTAAATTATAATAATTTTATTAAATATTGAATTTAAACATATATATTTTATATTAAAAATATAAAATTTTATATATTTTTAAAATAATAAATACTCGTTACATCTTATATTAAATGTCCTTAAATTATTTTTTTGAGTAAAATTAATATGTTAACTTTTATAAATTCTAAAAAAATTTAATCTGCCTCTCATAACTTAAAAACTTTAATTAATATATGATAATTTTAAAGATTTTTAATAGTTAATATTATTATACATCCGATAAATATCAATGACATAAATTTTTTATTTTTTTAAATCATATTATTATTAAATGATATATTTAATATTAAATTACTATTCACACGTTGATGTATACAAGTTTCACTTTTTTTTATTATCTTTTACTAATTTATTACAATAAAATATTTATATAAAATTGGTATAAAAATTTGAATTCAGGTTAAAGATATTACACTAAATTAAAAAAAATTTATAAGTGATTTTTAAGAATGTTCAATATTATATAAAACATAAAAACTAACATATTAATGTTGTTTATTTTATATTAAATTATTTGTCACTTTACAATATAAAAATATTTTTTTGTTTTTAATAATATCATATTTATTAAAAATATTATATGACAACTAATAATTAGAATAATCTTAAAATTAGTTATCTCCTAATTATGTCAATGTTTTCAACAATTTTAATAAGAATGTAATATCTTTTTAATACGTGTATTTTGACAGTAAGTGACATGAGATAAATAAAGTACTTTTTTTTTTCAAATAAAATTTACCTTTTTAATTTCTTATTCTGACCCTTAGTTTTCGATTATACATTTTTACTCTGTTTAAGAAAGGTGCCCGTGCTTAATTCATTCAGCACCGTCACACCGCCAACCGCCACTGCGTTCGTCCTACATTATGCAGTCTCCGTCTTCTCATTCGAATCAACTCAGCAACACAAATGAGGAATCGCACTGTGCAGGCATGTGTAGCTGCTGTTGCATGCTTCATTTTACTCTTCATCTTAAGCCCATCCATTCCTCAGCCTCAGCAGTACCATGATTTCGCCGACAACCGCAAACTATTTGGTAATTCTTTACCAAAACTATTCATTTTTTACACTTTCATTTTGACTAGAGTTACCTTCAAATTTTATGTCAACTGGGTAGTAGAGGGTCTTTCATTTTCCACCCATTTTTTGGTAAATTTTGAATTTTTTTTGTTATTATTATTCAGGCCTTCCCAATGCGCTAAACGTGATATCGAATTTCCCGTTCGTGGTTGTTGGTCTCATTGGCCTTGTGCTTTGCAATCGTAGGAACTATTTTAACATTAGGTATTTTCATTTTATCACCATCGATTCCTTTAGCCTATGTGCTTGTTATTGCCATCAATCAATTTTATAATTAAAAAAAAAAATCAATCTGTGGCATTAGTTTGCAGGGTGAACTGTGGGGTTGGACATGCTTTTATGCTGGTGTGGTTTCAGTTACTTTTGGGTCTTCATACTATCATCTCGACCCCAATGATGCACGCCTTGTGTGGGACAGGATGCCGGTGAGTTTCTCCTATGGAAGTTTAATCAATTCAGCCATTGTTGTGGTAGAAATCTATGTTATCCATAGTTTCAAATTTTGATTCCTTGATTATTGTATTTTATTGGAGATGACTGTTGCTTTCGCGTCACTGATGGCAATCCTCATCATTGAAAGGATTGATGCAAAGAAGGGATCAATTTCAATTGTACCTCTACTTATGGCGGGTATAGTGAGCAGTGTGTATTGGAGGCAAGCTTGCTTCTTTATTCCTTCTATTTGCCTGAGTTATTTTCCTTATCCTATGCTAATAGGTGGACACTTATCCATTGATAGAGTGCTTCTTTAAGTGAACAAAATTTTTCTGGGTAGAGATAAAAAGTGGCCAATTCTTTGAACATAGTTGTCATGTAGAAATGAGACTTATTGTGAGTGACAACATCATGGATTGGGTAAGTTTATGCCAAGAGTTAGGCTAGTTCTTAACCCTGAAGAATCTGAGCATTGCAGTTTACTGAACTATAGCTCTTGAAAATAGTTGCTATTTTTCTCAGTCATCCTGTTTTTAATGAAGGTTCTTTGGAGACATCCGTTTGTATGTTCTGGCCCAAAGTGCCTCATGCATTGCCATACCTCTCATGGCTATTTTGTTGCCTCCAGTTTACACGCATTCAGCATATTGGCTCTGGGCTTCTGGTTTGTACTTTTGGTATTGTATTATACATGTTCCAATGCAAAAATATATTCAATTAACCTCAATTTCAATTTGAATCTTAACAGGATTTTATCTTCTAGCTATGCTGCAAGAGGCTACTGATAAATTGATTTATAAATTGACTTATCATATTGTCAGTGGTCACACACTTAAGCATCTGTCTGCTGCAATGGTTCCTATCGTGTTAACAGTCATGCTTGCAAAGAGGAGTGTTTACCTGGGGAGGCTTTTGCATGTATGCAACACTCTGCTCCTTCAACTTTTTGAATTAACTACTCCACACATTTGAGCTATGTGCCAAGATTCTGGCCTGAAATTTCAGTTCAACGACTGTGGACGTGTGCCACATAGAATAAGTTGGCATAACTGTCCAGGTTATGGATATGTTATGAATGATTCCCCTTTCTCATAATAAAACTTGGTGGAGATTTTTTCTGTAATTAAAATAATTGTAGTCCCATTTTCTTGAGGCAAATTGCTACCTTTTTGCAGGTAAAGCATTCTGCATCTTTTTTGTGCATGCAAGGATATCCCACAACTGACAGCACATTCTGCATTTTTTCCTTCTTTTTATTGTTTCTTTTACCTAACTAAATTTTTTCACTTTATCGATATTATAAAATTTGAATTATTAACTAACTAATTATGGAAACCTGACCTGAGTTGTGCATTTGGTAGTTCCTTTGTCGTTGTCATCGTTATCTATCCCCATCCTTTTGCATGGGGATGATTCATTTACATCATCCTATAATGACTAGAATCTTGATCTCATGCGGTTGATGTGGTCTGAATGCAGGCAAAGTCCGCTTAACACGTACAGCATTGCCCAGACTCAGGTCAAAGAAAGCATTCGATCTTAATGTGCAGGTTGTGTAGTCTCAGTAACGATCCTTTCTCTCCAGCTAGAAGAAAATCTTGAAAGGCTAAGCTACTAAGGTTAGGTTAGTGGAATTGAGATTAGGTAGTTTGTAAGATATTTTATGTTCAAACTTATGTGCTTTAGTTGTACCAAAACAGAAAAAGGAAGGTGGAAGGGACAAATCACACCCTATTGTGATACAGTAACACATCCTAATTAGCTTCCTGTTTGTGCAGTTCTTTTATCTTTAATTTATAGCTAGTATTAAAAGAGAAGGGATAGACCCAGATATATGAAGAATAGAGTCCTGATTCATTCAGTCACTGTTCTATGATTTATATGAAAGAAGCTTTTGCTTGCAGCTGCAAAATATATAATAATAGCAGGTAAAACTAATGGTTAAATAACCAAAAATAGTGAGACTCGATGGTAGCATTTGCATACATTAACAGCAAGGATCCTCATCACTTGTTGAGTGTTAAATGTTCTCTACATTTGCTTGTAAATTGATATTTGCTCTGAAATTTTTTAGCTTCATACCTATAAATCAACTTACAAGCACGTGTTTGATGAAGGACAGCAGGAAAAAATGTGAAAATATTAAGACCGACGTAACACGGCAGACGCCCAAAAGAAAGAGAATTGAATAAGGACGTGGAAAAAATGGAAAAGAATTAGCATGTGTCCGATTAGTTATGAAAAGAATAATTTTCTATAAAGGGGGCAGCAATAATTCTAACTTTTTTATTTGAACAAGATAAATATTTTAAAGTATTATTGTTGGAGGATAAAAAGGTAAAATTAAGAATTAAAAAACCTTGAAACTGTAGCTATGAGGGGGGGGAAATTTGCCAAAAGGTTGAGATTGTTTCACAAGGTTTTGATGTTTGAGCTCCCTAGAATGAAATTTGGAAACTGAAGAAAAGAAAAAGAAAATAAAAACTTGTCTTTTAAGCGAAGAAGCAAGCATGGGAAGGCTGCGTGGCATATTCTTGGAAACGAGTCAAACGACCAAGTGCAATCCTTCTACCGATACATATATCGCTTGTTGATGTGCAATTGGTTGGCAACTCGGATTCAGCAATGTAGTAGTCGCTTTTATGTTTGTTGGTTGATCCAACAAAAGCAACTAACGGTGGCATCATGAACAACTTGTGGTTGTGGGTGATAAAACTGTGCTGAAGGAAGTTGAAAGCAACACATCCTAAGGAAAAGTCACATGTCTCTGCAAGAGTTAATGCCCTTCGGAGAATCCACGCTCTATGATTTTCAGTCTCAAAACATTGCTTCGTGTGGCTCTCTTTGCAGGAAATGGTCTGACAATGCCGTTTTTAAGGGGCTATGTCTTTGTTTTTTCCGTTTTCACGAATTATATGTATTTTGTTATATGGACAAATTATCCACGTTACCCTTTTCAGTGCATGTTTCATGATCAGATTTCAGTATAATAGTTGGAAAGAAATCAGGAGTCTTCTTCTAACACATATTTCAAAAGCTAAGCAGAAAATCAAATCAACTGCTACAAAAATCCTCAAGGCTCCAACATGATTGGCTCTTGTTAGAGTAGCCAACATGTGGCAGCCAGGAGGTTTCGGCACCTATCCTATATTTCAAAAAAAAGAAAAAAAGAGTTGTGATCATAAATTATGTGTCTAAATAAATAACTTTATTAAGTAGTACTTATTCAATAAGAACCTATAGCATCATAGTTCATTTACAAGTTTTAACCTAAAACTTATTAAAACAAGTTAAAAAGAAAAATAAAACATTTTGATAAATAAACCAACCTACAAAATTTACTGAAACTGAAAAGAGCTCACAGGAAGTTTTCATAAACTCAAATAAAGTCTTCCAAACATCACTTGAATGATGCAGACTGAGATGATACATTTATTGTTAAGATTATATCTTTTAATTTAATTGGCAAATACTACTGTGGTCTAGTACAGTGCTGATGCGATTCATATATAAACCATGAAAGTAGAAGAAACTATCTGGCAGCATTAATCAAACGACAAATTGCTTCTGTGAAATTTGTTTTTAATTTATTAATGAAAACATTAACCAGCAAAGGAGGATGATAACATCCATAACAATGTCAGCTATAACATCTACACTGTGATTCCCTGCAAAGGTGGCTTTTTTGCACCGATTTTACATTATTACTTAATGGGTGGATGGCTAACCTCCGCCTCCCGTTCCATCCCCAAACAGCCCTATCACTAGGCTGGTGGCTGAGTAAACAGGAACAAGAAAAATAGCCAAAAAATAAGAGAAAAATGGACTTTATATTCGCCTAAATATGATCATTGTTATGTACTTCTGATGCTATCAGTGCACAACCTGCATGTCTTCTATGTGGTTATTATTGCTCAACCTAAGCTACACCTTGCAGGCATGCACCAATATTCAGACAAGAGTGCAGATTAACCTCTGAAAATGGATTAAATTTGAGCCCAACTATGGCTATACAGGATGAAACTGAACATTTAGTTTTCTCTTAAAAAAGTCTTCTACCTCAAGCATAGCTATCATGTTACATGACATAGTGCCACACTACGACGATCCTCTACCATTAACCTCATTTTCAACAGCTTCACTAATAACATCAGCATCTGATATTAGCCATTTTCCACTGTTTTCGCGGTCAGATTGCTTGCAACTAACATCCTTCATCAGATTATCATCCAAGTCAGGCAAAGACAATGACTGTGATCTTACCTGGATCTTGTGGGAATGAGATGGTTCACTGGCCGACGGTAGCAACATGCGAGGTGGCGGGTTACTCCCTCTGCGCTCTGCAATGGAGGGGTAAGATCCTTTGCATGGCACACAAGAGTTTGCCCCTTCCAAGGTGTGATTAGCCAAAAATGCTTCTGAAGATGAAGACGACACAGCTTCTTTGTGAAGTAAAGAAGAACTTTCTGCGAAAGATGCATCTTTAACATAAAAGGGTTCGGCTGATTCCAGGCCAGAAGGTGATGGCTGCCGAGAAGACACGAATGACAAGTCAGACCAATTTGTAGAGGAAGGTGAAAATGTGAAGGAACTAGCATAATCAGAACTGGAGGGTGAAAGTGTTGGTGACTTGCAACTAAATTTAGGGCTGCTGTTTATAAAACATGGAAAAGAATCAGGTCGATGAGGGGATGGTGGCAATGATGAATCAACACTAGGAACAAAGTGATCCATGACTTCAAGGGTATGTTTCCCCCTTTCCGAGCTGTTATCTAGAAAACATTCAAAGGAATTCCTAGAACTACAAAGATGGTTTGAAGATGGTGGTGCTAAAGGATCGCCTAAAGAATGTTGATTTTCTTCTTCCATGTCCACACTCGATTCATCTTTGGAAGAAGAGGATATTCTATCACGGCACTTAGAGGATGTGAACAACCCTTTCATGATGCCACTCGCAAGCTTTCTTGTAAGCCTTCCCCAACCGTTTTCTCTAGCAGGAAGGCAAGTTTCTGATCCAGTGCTAGACACAGAAAAAGGTGGAACAACCCCACCAGCAAGAGCCTTGAGGAAAATTCCAAAATCCAAATCATACTCATCAACTTTCCTGGGACGAATTCCCACATCAACTGCATCATCAATATCCATTCTCTCCAAAGAACTCAACCTTACATCCTTCTTAACCTCTTTTTCACAATCACCTGCTAACAATTGTTGGTTAGTAGAAAGAGCAACCCAAAAACCTGGTGGCTCTTCATCCTCAACAACACTAAGAATCGAACCCGTTGCCTTCTCATAACGCACAACCTGAACAGCTGCTGATCGTGCATTACAAGACATAACAGAACCACAATCTTTCCCAATCCACACATATATAGCAGAAGGAACATGAACAATGAAAGCCCCACGAGAATCAAGTGCTTGTGCACAAGGGTGGTTAACCATTTTAGGAACAAGATGAAGAGGGTCATAAGGGGAATGAGGAGCCATCCTGTACATCCTAAGAACAGAATTAGGACTCGCAGGAACAGCATGTACCCTTTTCTGACACTGCAAGAGTTGACAAGCGAAACCCATGTTAGGATTGGTGACACCCCTCGCATTCTTCACATACTGAAACGCATCCTCAAAGCTCTGACCCTCCCTCCACATGAGATAAGCAATAACCAAAGAGGTTGATCTCGAAACCCCTTGACAACAATGAACAAGAACACGACCACCTTGCTGTCGAACATCCTCAAAATAATCAAAAACATCATAGAGAATGCTTGTGATGTCCTCAGAGGGACTATCCTGCAACCACAGTGTCTTGTACACGAAGTGGGTTTGGAAATACTCGGGGCAAACGAAGCCCACGCAGTTAAGCACGTGCGTGATCCCGTTCTGCCTCAGAAGCTCGTGGTTCTTGGCCACCGTGTCACTCCCCAAGTACACGTGCTCCGCTATTCTGGAACACTCTTTGTCGTAAAAGGCCAACTTGTCCCTCCTCAACTGAAACTCCTTAACGGGTTGACCCGAACCCGAACCCGAACCCGAACCCGGGTTTATTATTGACCCTCTTGGGGTCTGTGGAAGAGGCCAAACTCCGAGATCATCAGATCCAGCACTTGGCCACTCCTCAACGCTGCGTTTGTTGATGGAAAGTGGCTGAAGCGGTGGCAACAACGCTCTCGGTTTGGTGTTCCCCGGCGCCGAAGGCTTCCGGATAACTGGAGACCGGTCAGTCCAAGAAACTGAGCGGGAATATGTTCTCCGGTGACCGGCGGCGCGGTCGTTGGTTTCCTCCCCTAACATGGTAATGGATAAATAATAATAATTTTTTTAATTGGGTTTGAAAGCCATGAACAGAATATGTGGCTCTAAGGTTAAGGGTAATGATGGGGTGAAAGGAAAAGTGTAGAGAGGAAAATGGTAGGTGTTGCGGCTAGTTTTCCACCTAAAACCATTGACCATGTCTCTGTCTCTGACTCGTTCTTTGCTTATGCATATAAAGATAAGGGAAAGTTGAAAGAAAATTCAAATATGAATAGTGATGGATCTTGCAGAAGCAGAGAAAGAAAGTTAGGAGAGAGAGAGGAGTGTTGAGTATGTTGGGTTTATGAAAGTGAAGAAGTGAATTTTTGCTATGAAAAAAGGTGCGGCTGGGTGGTCATGGTCTTTCTGTTTGACCAAGACATAATGCGTCAAATTGCCACCTCAGCTGTTACGCTTTTTCTCAAATATAATAATATTAGTATACTACCTCTTTAAATTTGCATTCATGACACACATTTCAAATTTATTTTATTTGACTTTCTTCTCTTTACCATTCATGATCCTCCAATGATTTAATTATATTATTATTTTAGTGATCCCATTATGATAAAGGCATGTAATATAATAATATAATAATGTACAATTCAAAAACCAAATTAGGAAACCGTATGGAATTAAATTTTTCTTTTATTTTTTGTCTATATAGAATACCTATCATTACTGTTGTTATTAAGATACTTCCACATTCTAGATTTTTTAAATTTAGTAGTCAAACTATTATAGTATTTTTTTTATTAGAAGATATCATAATGAAAAAAATAATTTTGACCAACTACATAAGTAAGACATAAAATGTTTACTATGGATTAATGGCGTAAGAAGGGCATATTTATTTCTCTTTAAATAAAGTTTTGGATTATATATATATATATATATATATATATAATTTTTTTATATTGTATAAGATTAATTTAAATTAGTTGAATCTCTAAAAATTTGAAGAAAAAATAATTATGAAAATATTGTCTTTAAATTGAGGTTTAATGATTAGGGTAAATGCACGTGTGCTTGAATGCGCGTGTGCGTGTAAGAGATAAAAAAAAATTATATTTATTCATGCTTTATTTATGACTTCTTATTATAACAGTTAGAATCTTCATAATAAGACTTTATTAAATAAAGTTTTAAAAAATATATATAAATATTAGACTGGATTAATTTTTGCATTTAATGTTGAATTATTATGAAATTTTTAACGTGTTGACTAAATATAATATCAACTAAAGAAAATAAAATTTTATAACTTAAAAATATTGGTTGTAACAATATGCAATATCTCTTTCAAATTTCAGTAGTTTAATTATATGAAATAGGTCAACTTAAATTTAAATTCACAACAATACTTATAAAAGAAGGTATTTAATATTGTGAGTTTTTTTTATCGTACTTATTATAATTTTAAAAAAATTATTTAACAGTCAAAATGTAAAACCTTAAAAAACTAATTCAATTTTGAATTGCTTTAAATTATATTAGATTGAATTGAAACTAAATCTCTAACCAATTTGACCAAACAGTAAAATTACTTATTTGCTTAAATAACTTTATATGCATACAAAGACAATTCAACCATCAAAACTTACTTTGAGCATTTATCTTTTGTGTATCTAGACATCTCTAATAAAGGAAAAAATATATTTTACTTATTGCAAAACATAACTAAATTATGGCGGATTTATTAACAATTTAATATTATAATACTTTTTATTAGTATTAACAACATTTAACTATTAGCATGAATATTATAAATTTATACTAATAATGTGATATATTACACTTAAAATATTTTTTATTTGTAAAAAAAATAAATATTTCTTGTTAGTACAATAAATATTAACAGAATACATTATTTTTTAGTATAAATTTTTTAAGTCTAAATTAATAATTAATTTTTTAAAACATATTTTTTTAACACTTAAAATTTTTTATTTTAAGTAAATAACAGTTTTTTATATGCTTGTAATGGATAAAAAATTTATAATAATAAAAATTTGAAACAATTTTTTTTTATTTTTATACCAAACAAAATTTGTATATTACTTTGTATTTTAAAGAAATTTTAAATTTAGTTGATACATACAAGTATTTATTATAGTGTGAACATATCATTTTTCTTCGTTGGCTGTAAATAACGAATTCATCTAGAAATAAATTATTTTACTTTACATATTATATTATACAGTGTAAAAACAAGTAAAATTAAATTAAGAATTTTATCGTTATGATAATATATCTTTAATTTTATACAGTATATCAGGATACGAAAATTGAATAAAAAATTTAAAATAAGACATAGCTTTCAAAAGGAATAGAATTTTAATTTTAAATTAAATATTTAAAATAATGGAAAAAATTCAAAAAGAATAATTTAAAACAATATTTCTATTTAAAAGGAAAAACTTAATAAACTTATAATATAAAAGTTGATTATAGGAAGGTACCAAGTTTGCATAAAAATTCAAAAATGGAAATTATCAAAGATGTTAAGTGATAGGTAACCCACTGTGCAGTGACAAAGTGAAGTCATAAAAAAGAAACGTGAAATTGGAACAAACATGGGACAAATAATAGGAAGGGAATTATCATTACTCCAAGTTTTCCATTGCACAGCCTCTGGTCAAAATGAAAGCTACATCTTTCTGGACTCTGAGCCAAGTTGCAGCCTGCTTCAAGCACAGTGCAACTTTGGATTTTTCTCATTACTTTTCTTGGTTAAACAGAGTTATACTGTGAAGATAAAATTAAAAACAAATAAAATTTCATCATCTATCAACATTATGCAAAATAGTTACCTTTTTCTTGCCCACAAATAATATTATCCTCAGGACTTTGTATGAATGGATGGTAGCAACCAATTAAAAGCTCACTTTCCTACCCGTTGCCCACTATTTCTAAATAATAAGTACAACGGAAACACTTGAAAATTGAAATGGCTACCCATCTTCATTAACATATTGTTATGAATCATATAATTACAATATAAGAAGCCAGGAGCCTTGGAAATTGGTAGCAGCACAAAATAACAATTTAATTCAAGATTAAGTATGATTAACTTTGATGAATTCAATTTTAAATTGTTAAAAATGATTATATTATGTGAATGGGTTTTGTTATCCCCAACTTTAAGAACTGAAAATAACCTATTAATAAAAGTAGTAAAATTTTATTAAGAAAAAACATTTATTATGCTTTTATAATAAACTGACAAACATGTGTATTGCATTAAAATATATATATATAAAATTACCCAAAAGAAAAATGGTTGGCCGGTGAGAAGAATAGTGGTAGTACTCTGTCGACAAATGCGAAATTGAGATGAGTTTCAGAAATGTGGAACATGTAAAAGACGTGATCATTGCCGTTGTACTTAGAAGAGGGAGTGGCATACGTTTTATTATATTTTGTTTTGAAAGGGTATTTTATAATATCAGTATCAGTATATGAAACCAAAAATAAGTAGCATGAGGTCAAAAAAGGTGGCGATGGAGGAAGGAGCAAGCCGATTCCTTAACTTTCTGGTCCAAAGCAAGACCTGTCCATTGTCCAATCCTTCTTAGAGTTATCTTCGCCAACACGTCGTTACGTGATCCCATACAAATACAATGACCAAAAAGTATCGTTCACTCTCAAGTAAACTACATTGGTGTTATGGTTCCAAGTGAAAGATAAATATACAAAAATATTAACTTCAACTTTTTAAAAGTCGAGTTTAAACCATTAATAATAATAAAATATTATTAAAAAATAAGCATTTATTACCTTTTTATGACTTTAATAGAATAAATATGTTATTTTTCATAAAATAATATTATTTTTTCATGTTTAAATTTAAGAACTTTAAGTGCAAAATAGGAGAAAATTAGAAAAAATTGGATTACAGCAACAATCAAATCTTATTTTATCAAGTGAAGCGGTTACATAAATCAAATAACTTTATCATGTTCCTTCAAAAATAAAATTTTTATAAGTTTAATTAATTAAAAGATTTATTTGTCTTTCTCAATTCCACTTAAGAATTATGCAATCCATTTTTTTTACTAACATTTTTAAAAATCTGTATATGATTAAACTATTTTTATTCATTTTTTATTATAAGTATTATTTCAATATTCTCTTGGAAGGAAGTGTATTATTCTTTTAAATTTAATTCATTTTAAAGTAAAGAAATATCATAATGTTTTTTATGAAGTATATCGCGATATTAATTGAATAACTTTTTTAAAAACAAAACATATTATTACTCTTGTCCATATATAGAAATTGCTCCTTTCCATTCATATTATTCTTGTAGATGGATTTAGAAGTTGAAGATTCCGATATTTTTGCCTTCATGTTTAATCTATCATGATTCATGATGATGCTATGGCGAGCTATATCCTACATTGGCTTCACCACGTAGGATCTGGGAAGCTTTGGAATTTCTTATCGATGATCATCATGAATGGATTGTGCAACAAATCATCTTTCATAACGGTATACTAACCAACAAATGTGGAAAAGATAAGAGAAAAACATTAAAAAATAAAATAAAATGAGAGAAAAGTTTATTTATTTTTAAAAAGTTAAAGTTTTCCTTTCACCTAGTTACTTCAGTCCTCAGTGAACAAGGTATACGAACCCAACCAGCCCAAAGCCCAATCTGGCGCTGAACGATTTCACTTGAAAGAAGAACCTCTTCACTGGCCTCTCTAGCTTGACATGACTATTTAATTTGGTGTTCAGAAATTGTCTTTGGCTCGAATGAACGAATATCAGAACAACAGAGATAGGTAGCATCTGAATGAATGTGGATTTGGTCGTTGCTATGCATTTGGAAAAGCTTGACATGTATCAGAGCATTGGCGCACGCCGCCTCTTATATCGCGCTCTCATTTCAAACTTCGTAAAAGCAGGTCTCATCGATCATGCCATCCACGTGTTCGATCAAATGTCTCACTCAAATTGTCGGCTCTTCAGCGTCGATTACAATCGCTTCATCGGCGTTCTTCTCCGCCACTCGCGCCTCCACCTCGCCCAACACTACTATTACGGCCACGTCATTCCCAATGGCTTCTCTCTCATTCCATTCACCTACTCTCGCTTCATCTCCGCTCTATGTTCCGCTAAGAATTTCGAACTCATCCAGAACCTTCTATGCGACATGGATGCTCTCGGTTTTGTTCCTGATATTTGGGCTCTTAATATTTACTTGAACCTTCTCTGTCGCGAGGATCGGTTAGAAACCGCTTTGGAATTGTTTCGTGCTATGCCTTTGAAGGGGAGAGAGCCTGATGTCGTTTCCTACACTATTGTCATTGATGCGTTGTGTAAAGCTGAACGGTTTGATGAGGCTGTTAGGGTTTGGCGGGATTTGATTGAGAAGGGATTGGGGCCTGATTGTAAGGTTTGTGGTGCTCTTGTTGTTGGGTTGTGTGGTGGTGGGCGTGTTGAGTTGGCTTATGAGCTTGTTGTTGGGGTGATCAAGGGTGGGGTGAAGGTTGGTAGTTTGGTTTATAATGCTTTGATCAGTGGGTTTTGTAGGACCGGGAGGGTTGATAAGGCGTTGAAGATTAAGGCGTTTATGAGTACAAATGGGTGTGCACCGGATTTGGTTACTTATAATATATTGTTGAATTATTGTTGTGATGAGGGTATGGTGGATGAGGCCGTGAGGCTGTTGGAGACCATGGAGAGGAGTGGGGTGGAGCCGGATTTGTATAGTTATAATGAGCTGTTGAAGGGTTTTTGTAAGGCAAATATGATTGATAGGGCTTATTTGATGATGGTGAAGAGAATGCAGACCAAAGGGCTGTGTGATGTTGTTTCTTATAATACAATTATCACAGCCTTCTGTAAGGCACACCGGACTAGGAAGGCATATGATTTATTTGAGGAAATGTATAGGAAAGGGATTCAACCGGACATAGTGACGTTCAATATACTTGTGGATGCGTTTCTGAGAGAAGGTAGTTCCCATGTGGTCAAGAATCTTCTTGATCAAATGACAGGGATGGGTCTTGTTCCTAATCTAATATTCTATACAACAATGGTGGATCATATGTGTAAGAATGGGAAGATTGATGTGGCTCATAGTGTTTTTCGTGGCATGGTGGAGGATGGAATAAATCCAGATGTTGTATCGTATAATGCACTCATAAATGGGTTTTGCAAGGCTTCTAGAATTATGGATGCCATGCATCTATATGATGAAATGCAGAGAAAAGCATTAGATCCCGATGAGGTAACTTTCAAGTTGATAGTTAGAGGGCTTCTAAAGGAAAGAAAGCTTTCAGTGGCATGTAGAGTTTGGGATCAGATGATGGAAAAAGGCTTTACACTTGACAGACATCTTTCTGAGGCTCTAGTCAATGCCATTCAATCAAGTGATGGTACATGAGCGTGACACTAATTTGTCTTGTGATCCTCTCAAATTCATCACACCTTTCTTTCAAATTGGAAACATGACTTAAAAAATGTTTTCTCTGGATATAATACATGAAAGGTTAGCAAACCTGACTAAAACGTTTTCTGCAGGTAATGACACCTGTAAATTGGTTTATCCCATTTTTACGATGCTCATGGTGCAATCCCATACCTTTATATGTCTATGTGCTCACATATACTTTTGTGCTGTGTAACATACTACCAATTCACAGGCCAACTTTTTGTAAAGGATCCATACTGAGGGCAGTGCTGTAATGTTTTCTTGCTATGATGGAAGTAATGTTGTCCAGGTTTTGATCCATATTGTCAACAGACTATTCACATGGTGGATTGTATTTGTCAATACAAATATATAATAGTGTTCATTAACTTTTTGGCCATTGTTATACACGGAGAGCTATGGATCTGTTTCTCACCCTGCTCAACTGATATGAGCAGTAATAGATGATCTGGTTTAAATCAGTCCAGCTACCTATTCAAATCCCGGTTGGTGTTTCTTCAGAGTTCAGATTGAGGGTGGTTTTGAGTTGGTCTTATGCTGTCTTCATGCTATTTGAGTAAATCTTATGGTTCTAACTTTTAATAACAGCTTTGCATGGCAGGGACGTTGATAATGAACATGGGTCCTCTTATGGTTCTAACTTTTAATAACAGTATAGCACCCGTCTGGTGTTCAAAACACTTAGTTTTAGTGAAAAAGATGTCTTGTTTCATCAAGATGAAGTTTGTGGTATTTACTATGCCTTCTGTGATATGTTGCAGAGCATAGTTTGAACTATGAAGATAAGCATTCATTGGTAATTTCACCTTGCTGTGATCTACATCTACTTCCTTGTGATCTTGCTTCCTATCCTAGCAAATTCTTGAACAATAAACTCAGGTTTCATACCTCAAGCATTCTGGAACATTTATTAACAGATCAATGATTTACTATTTGTGTACAATGTACATGTCTAGACTTATATAACAGCAGAGAATTGTGGAAAAAACAAGATTCATTAGGTGGCCTTGTTAGGTTCAAGATTCAAATTTATTAGATTCTGAAAAACTGTGATGCTGGCACGAGCTATGTATGACTTCCAAGATACATATTTGTTGGATACTGTAATAAATTTCAACTCGTCTTATTTTCTGGTGAATTTTGATGCTTCAGCTTGTATCTGCAGCATGAAACTTCAAGCTTCTCTAAAGAAATGTCACCCTAATCATTACATTTGTCCAAGTATGTTTCTACTCCTTTAATTTTAGCAGAGTCTTGTATTAGGGAACTATGATATTCAATACAATTTTGTCTATTGTTGCCCTTGTCAACTCCTATATGAAACAAAACAAACAAAAGAATGTAAGAGAACAAAATGGATGTATGAATCATTTAAAAGTTGCATAGTATTTCTGAAGGCTGCTGCATCAATGGAGACTAACTGGGAATTGTTGTATGTTATGTTATTTGGTATGTTTTTACTTTTTTTAGTAGACTAGTTTATAGTGCATTCATTCAGGAGAATCTTCTGATATTAAAAAACATTTTCTAGCAGTAGTTAGTAGTTACATTAAGTTAGTTAGATAATGTAATAGTGATGTGGATTCTCGTAGTAGCATTGAACCTAATAAGTTAGAACATAGTTGCACTGCAACTCTTACTGCATTTTTTTTGGGGGGGGTGGGGGGTGGGAAATACAGGTTACTAATGCATATACCTCTTGCATGCCTCAGTAACAAAAATGAGTTTCTTACTTGTTCTCTTTATATAATGATATTACTATACCTTGGCTCATTGTACGCTGGTGTAGAATGCCATAAATATTAAATCTAAATGTATATACTTGCCAGTAGATTCTACCCTAGACAATGTTGCATCTTGGAACAGGAGTAGCTGAAGGACGAATCAGCACAATAAGCCAATTTGCTGATTGATTTGATAGAAATGCAATAAAGAAATAGAAAGAAGGAAAAGGAGGGTGAAGAGAAAGTACAGGTGAAAGGCATCAGTCTGGATTCTTGATGATTTCCAAATAGAAGTGAATGATCTAGGGTCCCAGCAACTTCTGCAATGTTCAAGAAAAATTGAAAATAGTTAAAAAAAATTTGCCATGTTGATGGCTAAATGTTAGAAGGTGCCTTAATTAGTTTTAAAACTTCTACACTTTAGGAATTAGTTTGGGAAAGTGCAATATTGAAACTGGGTTGACAAATCCTTTCTTCATTCATTCACGCACTCTATCTCCCTCTCTTCATTGTGTATTTCTCAAAGTTTTTCACTTCAATTATAAATCTTTCTCCAACATATCATCTTAAGTTCTTCATCCAGAACCATTATTATGCAAAATTTAGAAACTCTCTTTGCCAAGTCATCAAAATGAAACTAGACTTCAACCTGCTTGAATATAGGATGCCAAAAGAAGTGATTTCGTTTCTCCAGCATCGAACATCATTAGATCGGGAATAATCAAATTTGTGACAATTTTATAGATGAAACTACATATCTTTTGCCCTGTATTTTCTCATTACAATGTTTGATTTCCAGCATTTCTTGAGTTGTGGGCTTCTTGTTGAATTGCTAATTTCAGTGATTCAGTCCATTTGGTTTTAGTTCTTACTTTGTAGATACTTTGCATTTGGATTCTATGCTTTCGTTGACTTCTAGTACTTACGTATTGGGCTTCTTGTTAAATTTCCAAATTCAGTCACTATTATGTTATAATTTCCACTTTTGAGATACTTTACACTTTGAATTATATGTTTTAAGTTAGATTTTCTGTTATGAAGATTTAAAATTTATAAGTCACTTTTGTCTTGTTAACATATTTTCCATTTAAAAGAGACGGAACTTCGGACTCATTAACTGATTATTTTTTATATTCTGGGTAAACACTAGTTATTTATTGATATTGATTATGTTTTATAGAGTATTAGATAGCCCTCTCGCTCTTTTTTAACTAGGTTATTGGTTATTCTCCTTATTGTTATGCAAAAGTACGGATTGAACCAGAATTAAATTCTTCTGTTTGATTTTGAATTGGTTTATTTTCTTGTTTTCTCCCAGTGATTTGAATTGATCTAATAATGCTGCGATGCTATTTTACATTCTTGAGGCACAGATTCTGATTTTGTGAGAAAATTCTACAATAATTTCCAAGTTAATAATTCCAATTCCTGGATTTTGCCATTGAATTATGAAGGTATTTTAAGAGAGATAGAGTATGTTTGATTTCTAGTTTAAAAATAATTTTCTGTTTTTAAAAATAAAATGTACTACAAATTTGTGTTATATATTTTTGAAAAAAACAGAATTTTTTAAAATAGAAATCAAACGTGCTCTTATTTTTCTTTTTTCATTTTTGTTCATCTTAATGAGGAAGCAAAACTCGTTTCCTGACCACGTTTATTAGGGGAAATGACTTTTATATTTGATTTATCCTGTCACAGTTCAATATAAGAATGGAGGAGTTAGAATGTTAACAATAGTCATATGGTCTTAAAGTTTGACCATATTATACTTAGGGCTTGTGTGGAAGAACTTATGAAAAATAACTTATTACTCATAAATTGTTTTTAGGGTATTTTAATAAGTTTGTTTGATATAGTTTATTGAAATAAGTTTTTTTTTTTTTTTTTTAAACTTAATAAGTTTCATCGTTAAATTTATGATATGAATTATCATTTTACAAGGAGCTTATTAACTAAGTGCTTAAATAAGTAATTATTTAAATACCTTTAGTAGTTTATGGGTTTGGCTCATCACATTACTTACAACGGTTTCGGGGTGAGGTGGTGGAAACACAGGAAGTGAAGAGAACGGCAGAATTGCTTTTGATTAACCGTCGGTTGGTCTGTACCTGGGGACTGTTAATTGTGCACCTGACCTGATCTTGGAAAACATTGAAAACTGAAGGCAACAAAGATAATCCTGGCTTTAGCTTCTCTATTTGACTTATAATTCTAAAAATAACTTCCACTTCTATTCGAAATTTGAAGTAAAATTCCTTCCAATTATTTAGGCATTTACTTATTTGACATGAGCCTGAGGAATTAATGTGTATGCCATTGATTTACAAACTTATGTATATTTGTTTTATAACTACTGCATTATTGCTTTTTGCTCGGTCTCTCCATTCCACATTGCAAATTAGATGTTAATGACACGCATGGTTTTGACCGTTGGTTCTTTCTATTACTGAGGGTGCGGTGGGGGTGTTTGGTGGATCCGCTGTAAATTATATAGTCCTTTTATTTAGTCACCGGTAAAGTTGAAAAAATGCGTACGCACATGAAGTTTATCAACTCAATTTAAGCAGTCACCCATAAAAATGAGTTTGCTATATTGTTCTGAACTGATCATGGCCATATATGTACCTTTCAATTTTGTTTGTGAATAATTATTATGATATATTTTTTTGCCTCATTTTGCGAATTTCGAAATTGTTTCTCGTGTACTAATCTTCTTTTTGGTAAGTACGCCAAGACAATCTAACATATTTCTTTATTTATTTATTGCTGACAAATATATATTTCTTTTAAATTGATCGAATGTTGACTCAATGAATTCCTCTGTTCTACTGGGCGTTCTAACTTCCTAAAATGCTCGAACTTGCAATCTGTGTTTGTGGCCCACGTATTTTGGACCAATGTAGGGGAAAGGTATCTTGTGCATTTAGTACTGTTTGCTTGTAAATTGGGGTAGACGATTTGATCAAAAAAATTGTGGTAGAAGAAACTGAAAGTGCTCGAGGTTAGAATGTATGTTGTCGCCTTGCACGATCAGGTCTTTTCGGCAACCTTTACAGTTTGAAGGGTATTTTATAATCAAATTTGAAATCTTCGTAGTCCAAGAAAATGAAGACACCATTCCCCCTGTAATTCCACACAAGGTTTTGCTCTCTAATGGGGATTCAAGTTCTGTATATTATAGTCCAATAATAAGCTCCGCAACTCGGATCTGAATTTCACCCATTCAATCAAGGCTTGACCTAAACATAACATAAATAAGTGATACATGATCACTCTCTAGGTGATAAACTCAAATCAGGTGCTAATATTTAAAATAATAAAAAATAGAAACATTGTGCCCCACATAAGTGGCTTATGTTTGATTCTTTGCCTTTATATGAATCATCCTTGAAGTTCTCATGAAGTCATTCTCATTCCCTTTTTATACTTTAATTTTTGTTTTAGGCTTGATTTGTCCTCGTTTCCATTAGCTTAATAACATTTTCATAGCTTTTGTTTCTCTTCATTCTTTTCATTCATCTTTCAGCAACCATGTCTCTTCGAGAAACCAACCCTCATTTTTCTAGACCGTCACGGCCACAACATGTAGATGGTAGTGACCAACCATCTTATGCATTTGTTCCGTCCCATAGACACCGTGGCCAACCACCCACACAAGGAGCTGCACCTGTACAAAATGTATTGCAACCTCAGCATGAAGATCATGTCCCATTACGAACACAACGTGATGACCATTTTCCATTGCCAATGGGGCAAGAGGATCATCCACACACATCTATTCTAAGAGAGCCACGCCGTGGCCAATCACACCGTGGAGCTTCACGTAAACAGCCACAAGATCAAGGTTTGACGCCAGCTAAGTCGAAGGTAATTTTTCAAGAGCAATCTCCCAAGGCTGGTGGCTCTGCAGTGCTACCAACACCAGACCATCCTACCGAGCCTCGGTGGCGGCCACGCCAAGATCATCGGCACACACCAATAAGGTTGCCTAAAGAACAAAAGTCTCAACCCTTAACATGGTTGGGTGCTTGCTTGTGTGTAATATTTTGGCTGGTCATAATTATAGGAGGCTTGATAGTCCTAATAGTGTACTTAGTTTTTCGTCCCCAAAGTCCTCATTTTGATGTATCTGGTGCCACCTTAAATGCTGCATACCTTGACCTTGGATATCTGCTCAATGCTGATCTAAGCTTGCTGGCTAACTTCACAAATCCAAACAAGAAGGTACATGTGGATTTCAGCTCCGTGATGATTTATCTGTATTATGGAAGTACCCTTATTGCCACTCAATATGTTGAGCCTTTCTCGGCAGCCAGGCGTGAGTCAAGGTTAGCAAATATCCGTATGGTCACTAGTCAGGTTCAGCTGCCATTAAGAGAGACCCAACGGCTTGTCAAACAAATGGAAGGCAATGGCGTTTTACTTCAGGTGAACGGAGTTTTCAGGGCAAGATCCAAATTAGGAAGCATCTTAAGGTATTCATATAACCTTTACGGCCGTTGCAACATCTTGTTAACAAGCCCTCCTGGCGGGGTGTTGCTTAAAAAGAAATGCAGAACGAAGCGGTGAAGCAATAATTCAGCAGTAAAGATTATTACAATAATTTAGCGGCTATAATATGATTGGCATTCTTTTTTGTCCTTGAAAATGGGGGTGTTTTGGTCTTACTGATTTGCCTATTACTCCTTCAAATAACAACTTTAAGGGTTAGCCTTTTTTTTTTTTTTTTCGTTTCCCCGTTACATGTAGTTTTCTTCTTTTGTATCTTAATTTTTCTTCTCAAGAATTATTAGAGATTATTACACACAAATAACAAAATCCGTAACATTAGCTCAGTTTCTTAAAGGATGCGCGGATTTCAAGTTTTCACTCTAGATCGCGGTCAATGGTCAGTTAATCTCAATTCCACAATGCAATGGAACTTTAATTTAATTTGACATGTCTAGTTAATGGTTGGCCTGAGTGATTCGTATGTATTTTATTTATTTTTTATTTTTATAATACACAGCACAGACAAGCTGGTCCTAAAAGTGAAATGCTTATATATTATATTTTCGTCGTACCAGATTGGACAGCGAAAAAGATTGTCCTGACCATGAATTTGTCTACAAATACAAGACCTCAAAAGCTATCTTGCACCTAAACCTACAAAAACAACAGCAAATTAATAATTTGAAATGCTACACGCCCCATTCTCTTCAAAAATTCTTATGCTGGTCCAAGCCTCTCAAATACATGTTAAGACCATTTAACTATCATTGACAAAAGCCTTCAGCCCCTGAAACGCTTTTGTCGTCTGAAATCGATGTATTATGTGTCAAGCTGATACTCTCAATACAATATGTGGCCATAATTAACAAAGGAAAAAGTAATTTAAATAATAATTCAAAAAAATTGAACAGAAGTCATATACATTTGGAATGATAAAAGGCTCGCCTGTATTTGGTATGGAAGTAATAAAGGTAAAAAAATCATGCATTTATTTTATTAGTGACATTGTTGAACCTATTTTGATAATAAAAAGATTGACAATTGAATATCGTCCAATCGTTGAAACCGCACTAGTTTCTATAGATTTGGGGGGTTGAGAGTTTAACCTACCCACCCGTTCTAAATCTAGACTGGCAGCACTTGCACGGGTTGACGAAACCATATATCCCTCAAAAGACTATTTGGTAAAAAAATTGGGCAGACAGAAGCTAACAAAGTTGCAACTGAAATTAGCAAGCACAGACTCAAAAAATGTAACCCAAAAACATTTATCGTAGATACAGAAACTTCGGTTATGCAACTTCCCGTGGATACACTGTTGATTGCTTTGATGGAAGGATCGTACAAAACAATAAAATTGCAATGGCCATTTATTCAAGCCAGAAGCAACTACAACATGATGATGCAGGGAAACAGCTCATCTATAGTGTGAAAACATAAGTGAAGATGCATTCACTGTTAATTTAGATATAAGTGTTTAGTGAAGTTAACCCATTCAAGAGTGAACACACCTTCGCGTGTATACTTCAGAGGCTTTCTCAATTAAGAGGAGCCTAATGCTGGATCAATAGCTGGACTAAATGCTGGATCAACATGATGCTATCAACTACAATTTTGTGACATAAAATTGAAGAAATCAACATAAATACACAAGAAAATAAGAAACAAAAAATAGAAAAGGTCCAATTATAAGAGAGGTTCAGAAAGTTCCATTTCGTTAGAAGCCTGCTGTTGTGTATCGAGTCGCTGCTGAAATCCCACAAAGTCTAAGCCGAGCCACTGCCATGGCCAACAAACATATCTAGGCCTGTTTTGGCCCCTCGAGTCTTCCCTGTTCTCAAACTCTTCAAGCTGATGAGTAAGCTCCTCAACTCTCTCTCTCAGTCTAGATGACCTCAAGTCTGCCAACTTAAGAGACTTCTCTGCTGCATCTCTGGCAGCCATGGCAGCAGCTGCTGTCTCTTCTTTGAATTTTAGTTTCTTCTCTGATTCTAACATTGATTGTTTCGCCTCTTCAAGTTCCTGCTTAAGAGCTGACAACTGCAGATTTGCAAACAGCAATCATGACTAGGAATATTCAATAAAAACAACTAATAGTTGTACCAGCAGGGGGCTTTCTGCACAGACCATAATGCTAAAAGAAAGGGGGCATCAGACACTGTATGCATGAAAAATGATTCCAGTAATGAATTCATGGAGACAAGATGCCACTAGTGTTAGATATAAAACCATCATGAAGTTTTGACTATAAAACTTCAGTAGTTCTTGGGATAATTAATTCATGACATGGCACCAAAACCTCTATGCCCATGGCATCTAGCATTTGATCATTGTCACCTCCATTCTTCTCAACAAAAGATAACAGCTAAATTTCAGCACAAAGTAGCATGAGACATAGCTCTTAGCAATCAGAGGCATGAAAGTGCAGAGAAGAGAAACAGAAGAATGGAAGAATAGAAGAATTTAGAGGACTTTCCCTCTATTCTTCTAGCATTTGATCATTGTTTTCTCCATTCTTCTAAACAATAGTTAAAGGCTAAATTTCAGCACAGAGTAGGAAAAATGATAGCTCTTAGCTCTCAGTGACATGAAGTGCAGAGAAGAGAGACAGAAGAATGGACAAATGATATCTGTTCACATGATTGGAAAGTTTTTTTTCCTCAAAAATTTCTATCAATGATCCTGGACATTATCCATGCTTCAAGCCTGAAGAATTTTTGCGTGAGTGGACATGTTAACTTTAAAGTCATTCATTTGTTTCTGCCAAGTAGCTTAAGCTTTTGAGATAGTTGATTCAACCCTCTAGCAACCGGCTAATATACTTAATTAACTGCAAATTTTGAACTCCTCAATTCACCATTACACAACCAAAGCTGGACGTAGTGCCTAAAAATCATTTATAAATTAAAGTTTAAATGCATTGTACTCTTAAGAATAATTGGCACAACTGAATTTTTTCAGTCACATCCTCTAAACATGGCAAACATGTCAATAATATTGGTGACACAGCATACCTGTGCCACAAATTCTTGTTCGACGCCTCTGCCTGCTGCAGCTTCTTGCTCTGCCGCTACTTTCCATCTGTTAATTTCTTCTTCAGCAGCAGCAATGTCCATCATTAGACCCTCAATCTACATACAAATATGCCAAGTTGGTAATTAGCGACAGAGAAGTATTAACAATCAAATGTCCCTCACAAATTATTTACAACTTAGGAATACTCAACAAATTCAATGTCCCACTGTTCCAAAATATAGAAATATCAGATAAAACCGTCCATAGTTAAGGAACAAGATCAAGATAAACTAAATAAAACATAATCAAGTTTACATTTTCATTTGCCACTCTCTCCTTCTCTTCAAGTTCCTCTATCCGATGCATTCTATGGTCAAGCTCCTTGGCCTGAGCTTCAATATGCTGCTTAAGTAAGCTCAACTCTGCCCTTAATGCAGTTAAGCAATATGCAAAGGAAAAAAGTAATGACGTCAGCACAACTAGAAATTCCAAATATGCTAGTTCTTTAGTCAGTAGTATTAATGACTAACAAGGAGATGAATTTCAATTATCAAACTTCAAATTAAACAAATAACAAACAACAGTGCATTTGATTCTAATGTTAAGTACCTTAATTCATCCACAGTATGCTGCAACTCAATGATCTCAAGCTGAGATGTCTTAACAACATCTTGCAAAGCACCAGCCTGCACACAAAGCATGCATGGACAATTCATCAAGGAGTCATTAAAATGCATACTGAGATGAGAACAAGTTTAACTAAAAACTAGAAAGAGAAACAAATACTTAACCAAAGAGTATATTTCATCCTCGTCTTCTTTTTCCGTTGTGTCTGATTTGTTATTTGAAGCTGCAACATTTCCATCTCCAAGAATCTTACTAAATTTGAAATCTATCCCAGCCTCCCTCAACCCATTCTCTGCGGCTTGAAATAACTCACTTTTCCTAGAAGATGGATCAGATGTCATCCTTTTTGACAAGGCACTTCTAAGCAAAGAACCAATTTGATCCTTCTCCCTAATTAACCGAGTCACAGTCTCATCTAAACTCTTGATCTCATGATTCTTCTCCTCAACCACATCCCTAGCTTTCTGAACAACAATCTTAGTCAACTCATATACCGATTCCATCCCAGCCAAAGAAGCACGTATATTCTCCTCAATGTCCGTTTCTTGCGGGACAAACAACGACTCAGACAGTTCCGAAGTACCATCATCATCAATTATCTTAACAACATTGCAAATTTGGTTATGAATTTTTGAAACAATACTCAACTGATCAATCAACAAAGGCCTTTGGGATTCCATCTTAGTTTCCAACTTACTCAATTTATCCTCACACTCATCAACAAACTCCTTCAATTGCAAAGCCTCACTCTGTTCCTTACTCAAATTCTCTGAAATCTCATTCAGCTTCTGATCCCGAACAGCCAAATCCTTCTCTAAACCCTCAACAAGAGAAGCCTTCTTAGCAACCTCATCTCTCAAGCCACTAATTGTGGCTTCAAGCTGAGAAACCTCAATGGCAATCTCGTAATTCCGCTGCTCCATCTGCTCCCTGGCCTCGTTCCTAGACTTCGTAGTTGCGTCGTTCTGTTTCAAAAGCTCTTCCACGATCTCATTCGCTCTCTTGATAACACCGTACGCCACCGCCGCCATGCCGGTGTATTTCTGCGATCGCGGCAACGGCAACGCGTTGCCGGCGAAACTGCTCACTTTCGCCGAGATCTTCTCCATGCCAGTCACTAGCATGTGGCTCGAATTCCCAATCTCCGATCGCAGCGCGTCTCGCTCCTTCGCCGTTTCCTCTAGCTGCTTCGCCGTCTCCTCCTTCTCCCGAAGGGCGTCGTCTCTCTGCCGTCCGAACTCGTCGCGCTTCTTTATGGCCTCGTGTGCCAGCGCCTTCAATCGGTTGAACGAAACCTGCAATTCCGTCTTCGAATTCTCGGCGGCGAGCCGCGCCTGCCGCTCCTTATCGAGCTCGTCGAGAACCTCTCGGAGTCTCTCGACGGAAAACTCATCCGGCGAAGGTGGCTTCGTGGCGATCGGAATCGAATCGCCGCCGCTGTCGTCCTCGACGTCGCTGAGCACCGCATCGGAATCTAGGTCGCCGGCGCCGGCCATTTAATTTATTAACATATATATATGATTGATAAACCCTAGAAATTGGAGCGAATCCACAACACGAGAAGGTAGAAACTCTAATGTAATTGTAGTATTGCGTTAGGTTATATTTTAGGGTGCTGATGATAATAGATAGATAGATGAAGAAACACCGCCACAACCTACCAACCAGTCAGCCTCTCCAGAATTTCGGAGTTTCAAATTGAGAATTGAGAAATTCTGTTTTTCGCCTTTTGTAATTGGAATGGATTTCAATTCAAAATATAACAATAAGTGGCGCTGTGGTGTTAAAATAAATTTGATTGTTTAAAATGAATTAATTAATATAGAAGTGAAGAAAATAAATAATATTAAAAAAAAAATAGAATATGGATTGAGGTGGTGCGAAACGAAGTGAGTGTGTTTCACGGCGATGTGATTGAAGGGGTAACTTCGGAAGTTAATAATATAATGTTTAGGATAAATAGATGAGGGAAGCGAAGACGGTAATGGTAGGCGCGTGCCCAGTGGATTGCAGGGATCGGTAACAGAAAGAGAGGAAACTTCGTCTGCAAGGGTTGGCGACGGAGAGAGACAAAAGGACCGTCACCGTAGGCTCCTTCACGCCACGGAAAGCATCATTTTTTGTTTTTTTTTCTTCTTCTAATTAACGTTAATGTTAAGTATTAAAACTATAATTTAGTTGAGTTGATTTAATTGAATTTTACAACAAAATTTCTCAATTAAAATATTATATTGATTTGTATTTAAATTATATTCAGTGTTATAAAATTAATCTAGTTTATAAGAAATTTAAATAAAATAATAAATTTTATTTTTGATTAAAAAGTTATAGATGTCTCGTTTTATTAACTTTCACTCTTAATGTCATTTAATTTTAATTCACAAATAAAATTTATAAATAAAAAATTAAAGAGTTATTATTACACAATAAACTTGCTTTAAAACTTCATGTCATTGACTCTTTTTTTTTTTCTTTCTCACCTAAGAAAATACTTTACAGAAAGATTGGAGTAACGTTTGACATAAATGAACAAAAGAGAAAAAATAAATTAACATAGAGGTTCTAAACTAAATTCAATCACCTAAGTCTAGTAAGTATTACAAAATGGTCATGCAGTTTAACACATAAATAGGCACAATAATGTATCTCAAAAACAATATGCGGTTTTAATCGTATAAAAAATAAAATTTATAAGATAGAGACAGTTTATATTTTTTATTCTTATAAATATTTACGCGTAAAATACAATCATATTCTATTGTTGGAACTTTTGTAATTTGTCCTCAAAGTTAACACAAGCGGAATTATTTAAAAAAATAGAATACCAGAAAATGTTTGTTTATTTTTATTTTTTTATTTAATTTTTAAATTATATTTTAAAATAATTTTAAAAAATAAAAGTAAAAGTTATATTAATAAATATATTTTATTTTATTTTACTTTTAGAAGAGCTGTTTTTAAAAACAGAAAACAAATAAGTTTTAAGGGTTTGTTCGTGTTTTAACTTTTGATTTTTTAAAGTTATAATTTAAAATAATTTTTAAAAAGTATTTAAAAAAAATTATGTCAACAGATAATTTTTTTATTTAAAAAACTGTTTTTTAAAAAATAAATAAACGACCTCTTAGATGCTCGTCATCTTAGTTGGTTTTTTTTTAAATTTTATTTTACGCTATGAATGTAGATAGCCAAAAAAAAAAAAAAAAAAGGAAAGTAGCAGATAAAAATAAAACGATAAACTAAAGAAGGACAAAAAAATTTGTGAAGTGTGGTGCAATTGACAATATGAACTGATATTGTGAGAATAATAAAAAAATTTATTTTAATTAAACACACCTAATAAAATTTAAAAAAAATCATATAGTGGTCGATATATGATCGAATAATGAATTATGTAAACAAAAGAAGGAAAGAAAAACATAATTTTATAGAAAAATCAGCATAATAGAAAAAATATATATCATTCAACTTGTTACTAAGAAGGGTACATTGATTTGGTGGCTTTGTCATTTAGTGGGAGAAAAAAACTTAGGGAGGTGGAATTCATAAAATTAATTTCAGACCGTCCATACCATGAAATTTTGTGGGGCGGGAAGTTTATTTCTCCCCTCCATTCCCTCATTTGATTATTAAACATTTTAAAAATAATATTAAATAAAATATACACTTAAAAGTTTTTTATATTAAATTAAAATGTTTATTATTATTCTAAAAATGTTTTGTGTGACATTCCTTATTTATAAAAAAAAAACTCTCCTTTAAGTATAGAAATATCAATGTGATATAATTAAATTAAATAAAAAATAAATAAATATAAAAAGAATTTGTGTATGTAAAATATGAATTATCAAAATAAGATTTAAAATTTTATACATATAAATTTTGTTCGTAATAGCATTGAAGATATAATTTTAGAATTATAAATTTACAATTAAAGAAAAACTACAAATTTTATATTAATGATTAATTACTAAATATTATACTTGTATTTTGAATCATTATTTAAAATGATTAAATCTTATAAATAACTTTGAATGAGAAGTTAATTAATAATATATTTACAGTTTTTTCTAATAAAGTAAATCACCTAGAATAGTTTTTTTTTTTTATTTCTTACGAGTATAATCTTAAAACGGATCAATTCTCTTTTTTTCACTTTATTACCTAAAAAAGTTTGTAAGGGTGAGCATTCATCGTCCTATGAGAATTCTTATTTTATAAAATAATAAATAATAATACAAAAATATTTTATAATACAACATGTAATAGAATAATAATGTTTCATACTTAACAAATTTAACCAGACAAATTATTCATATACATCTTTCATCATTACTCATACATATTATATTTCTTATTTAATTAACCCAATCAAATTCAACACCATAATTCATACTACTTTACTTATTCATACAATTTTAATTAATAAAAGTTATTCATAAATATTACTCAACATTTAACTAAATATCATTATTCAATCTATATCTTCGTGCCACTTTATTCATCTCAAGTCTGAACATCTCATCAATTTACAGTACTCTAAGTACTCTCGGGTCCTTAAATTATTGCTAGCATACTCTCTTTAGTTATGAAGGACTTATGCAGTATGAATAGTCGATGTTCAGCTAAACCACACATGGATACAACGTGTGCATTCACAGCCTTCTAAGCAAAGGTATAGTTTGGAGTTCGGTTAAGAAATGTGTGTGAGGCTTGGAAATACATCTCATTTTTACATCGTATACACATCAGTAAATCGCATTCACCACTCTTATTTCCACTATATTTCCATAATCAACTCCAAACCCTATACCTCTAGTGTATCCTTGAACTATTCATACAATATTTCAAAAGTGGCACATCAAGTTATACCATTCTAATCATATGTTGTAAACACACTAATCAGTGCACTACAACAAGTGTTATAATCTCACATGTCAATGTATTATAACGCATCTATCATAATGACACCAATTGGTGTATTTGTAATATACGTACCAGTGTCCCTTTCTCTTTTCTCCACACATATTCATCACCTTTCAATTTTCACAATTTTCCTTTCTCTCATAATCAATTGTATACTTTCTCAAAGATTCTCAAACATTCATAATTATTCAAACTTAACCCAACTCACACATATAGGATACGATACCTTTTATATCACTCTCACACAACAACAAACTTCTCAATTACGTAGATAATCATAAGGCAGACACATATCATCACACAATTTCATACAATATGTTGAGGGTCGGACAACTTCAGACTCAGCCCAAATCATGCAATCTAGAATATACTGTTGGAGATCACATTCTGTCGGTCTTAATAGAATCTTATAGCCTAAAGTGCAACATATTTCACCTTTTCACTATTTAACACATACATTATTTTAAAAAATATAGCAACTTATCCATAAAATTGTTTAACTTATTCTTACTCATGACTATTTATGATAAACTACGTCTTAAGTGATTTTAAACGAATTAAAAATCTCTTTTATATCAAAAATCCATTTCAAACTTATTTAGTTTCAATAAAACTTTACGGATTTACTTTTTAAAATAAGATAACCCTCTTCTGTAAAGATTTATAAACATATTTAGGTAGAACTTCGGGTTCAGGAGTAACTTCTCTTTCCTGGAAATGCTTCTCAAGAACTAAGTTCTTTGTGTACTCTAAAGAGAAACTCTACCTCTTGACCAAAAATACTACCCCAAGGACTAGATTTCTTCCTAACATCACAAGGTAGATATCTATTCTGAAAAAGAGAAAAGAGAAATAGGAATGAGATTCAAAGGATGAGCTCCAGAAACTTATTTAGATTTGAGAGAATAGACGTTTGAGCTAAGATCCGAAGAAGATCTAGAGTTATTGGAGGTTTTCTCTGGGAAGTGAGGGGGAGAGAACGAAAAGAATGGAGAGCAAAAGATGATTTGGTTGAAAATGAAGGTTTTAGAATGAAAGTTTTTTAAATATCACTCAAACTTGCGACTTTCTTATTACAGCAAGTAGCTCTCGCTACAGTGAAAAAAAAATAAAAAATTCTTTTGTTGTTTGTCATTCTAGCTATAGTGAAAGATCCTTGCTACAACAAGAAGGCTTCAAAGAGCCTGATTCTAGATTATTTGTCTCGCTATAGCGAGATATCTTGCAGTTCACATCAATTAAGTACTCCTAAATTTAAATAACATGCACAAACAAATAACATAAATTATAGTAATAATAAATAACAAAATGAGCGTGTTACATTTTACATACAACATATTTATTTTTTACTTATCTAAATAAATAAATAAGTGTTTTACAATTTTTATTTATATTTTTTCAAATAACAATTTTTATTTTTATTTATTCAAATAACATTAATTTCTCAAAATTCGATCATCACCCACTATAAAACGAGAAAGAATAAAGGAAACAAATGATTTGTAAACATGTATCATTCATTGATATGCTAAGACTTAAATACACAAGTTTACAAAAGTTTAAATTCAAAATAGAGAGAAATCAGAAAACTAATTTACAGCTATATTATCTATAATTTGAAACTATTGATATCCTAATAATAACAATTGATTTGTTGTTATCAAGATTAAATTGTTACTCCTTGATTTGCATCATATTTGCACTATTGAAAAATTGCTGCTCCTTGCATGTATCATTCATTGATATGCTGAGACTTAAATACACAGGTTTACAAAAGTTTAAATTCAAAATAGAGAGAAATCAGGAAAGTAATTTACAGCTATATTATCTATAATTTGAAACTATTGATATCCTAATAATAACAATTGATTTGCTGTTATCAAGATTAAATCGTTGCTCCTTGATTTGCATCATAGTTGCACTACTGAAAAATTGCTGCTCCTTGCATGTATCATTCATTGATATGCTGAGACTTAAATACATAGGTTTACAAAAGTTAAAATTCAAAATAGAGAAAAATCAAGAAACTAATTTACAGCCATATTATCTATAATTTGAAACTATTGATACCTAATAATAACAATTGATTTGCTGTTATCACAATTAAATTGTTGCTCCTTGATTTGCGTCATAGTTGCACTACTGAAAAATTGTTGCTCCTT